CAAAACATCGATGTCTAGAAGTCTACATCGCTGTTGGGGTGTTTGACTTTCAAAAATGGAAAGATTTTGTCTTAAATAGCCCAACGGTCATTTGAAAACATCGCTGTTCAACCATGAACATCGCTGTTCAAAAACTTACTGCCCAGGGCTTCTGAAGGCCAACATCGCTGTTGGGATTTCCGACATGCATGTCGGGATGGTTTGCCAGAACCATGGTTTGGCAGCCAACGCCGAAAACCGATGTCAAAAACCAAAGTTCTCCAAAATGAAAACCAAGTGTTGGAAACTCTTATATAATGTATTTTAGATAGAAACCAAGTATAAAAACGTAAAAACCACTTCATTAAGGTAAAAACCACGGCTAGCCAAGTTTATGCCGTTCTACATGGTTTTCACCAAAAGACCAAAAACGAAAGGTGGTTTTTAACATGTTTTTGTTGGAGAACTATTTGGATATGTCCAGAAGTAAAAACCAATCATAATATATTAAAAACCACTTGATTGATTTGGACGCCAAAAACCAACGCCGATAACCAACACCGAATGCTGATAACCAACGCCGAAAAACAAAGGTTATGGTTTTTGAAAACTAATCATTTGGAAAAACTTTAAATGTGTCCAGAAGCATAAACCAAATATAAAAACCCAAAAACCATTTGGTTAAAAACAATGCCAATAACCAATGCTGAAAACCGAACGCCATAGCCGAACGCCGATAACCGATGGTTATGGTTTTGGTTAAGCAAGTACCATGGGTTTTAGAAACTTAAAAACTATTTATGAAAACACTAATTTGATGCATGAAAAACATATTTTGTTTTGAGCCATGACGTAGAGAAATTGAATGAGCTTGTTACAATAAAACCTAAGTCTTTATAATATGTCTTCAAAGCGCCAATGTCGCCATCTTTAGCAACGTCAATTCCGTTCTTGTGCTTTTTGTTTCTTCAAAGAACTTTTTCTATCTTTTCATTTTGTTCCATGTTCCCGACGGTTTGTCAATATCAAAACCTAAATGGAAACAAACATTGTTATTAGCAAAATGTCAAAGTGAAAATGTTTTCCAACAACATCGCTATTGGGCTGGTTTAGCCAGACCCATGGTTGGTTTAGTCGCGCCGTTAGCCGATGTCAAAAACGCAAGTTCTCCAAAATAAAAACCAAGTTTAGAAAACATTTGTTTATTGCGTTTTGCTAAGAGAACAAGTAAAACATCTTAAAAACCACGTCATTTAGTTGAAAACCACGGCTAACCAAGTTCGTGCCGTTTCGCATGGTTTTCACTAAACGACCAAAAACGGAAAGTGGTTGAGGCGTTTTTGTTGGAGAACTATTTAAATATGCCCAGAAGTAAAAATCAGTCATAAAAAGTTGAAAACCACTTGGTTGGTTCAAACGCCAAAAATCAATGCCGAAAGCCGAGAGCCGAACGCCGGTTTCTGAAAACCGAACGCCGGATGGCTTGGTTTTTGGTTTGGGCGAACTCCAAGTGTTTTTAGCCAAGTTTAAAACTTAAAAAAAATATTTTTGAATATGTAAAAGAGATTTTTATGAATTGAGCCTAGAGAGCCAAGATTTGGAATTTTGTGCCGGTCTTGATCACATTAAGACCGACTCAATGCAATTCTAATTCTTCGTTCTTGATTCTGGGTTCTTGGTTCTCTAGTCATCATGCCATGTTCCTTCGCCTTAGTTTTGCTCACTTTAGCTTTAATATGTCGCGGCGGTTTGGCATTATCAAAACCTGTCATAAAAACGAACACAGTTTAGTACGACGTAGGCGTAAACCCGTGTTCCAACAATTAGCTTGATTTAAGGGATTGAAAAGATTTGAGATCTGCTGAATATTGGCTTCCCTTTGATGTTTAGGACTTACCCATCGCTGGTAAGCCAATTTTCCTTCAGATTTGAAGTCAACGGTCACCTACCCATCGATGGGTACAAGCTTCCCATCGCTGGTTGGGAGGTTGACTTCCAAACAAGTCAACGGTCACAACCCTTTGATGTTTAGGACTTACCCATCGCTGGTAAGCCAATTATCCTTACCATCGCTGAGCAAGGTGGTTCTGCCTTGTGTTAATTTTGTACCAAGGCTTGAACAGCGATGGGTAGAACTTCGGATCGCTGCTTGGCATGGTTCTGGAAATTGGTTTGGCTAAGAGACCGCTAACCCATCGATGGGAAGATCTTCCCATCGCTGGGTGGGTGGTTAGTAAAGAACCCATGGTTTTTGGCTTAACCACGGCCTAGCCAACCGATGCAAAAACCGACCGAAAAATCCAAAGTTCTCCAAAATAAATACCAAGTGTTTAAAACACTTTTTTGATGCATTTGGCTAAGAAATCAAGTAAGACACTTTAAAAACCACGTCATTTGAGTGAAAACCACGGCTAGTCAAGTTTATGCCGTTTTGAATGATGTTTGTCAAACGACCAAAAGCGAAAGATGGTTTTCAATGTGTTTTTGTTGGAGAAACGTTTAAACGTGCCAAAGAGTGAAAACCAATCATAAAAAGTTGAAAACCACTTGGTTGGTTTGGACGCCAAAAAACCAACGCCGAAAACCGAATGCCGAACGCCGGTTTCTAAAACCCGAACGCCGGATGGCTTGGTTTTTGGTTTGGGCGAACACCAAGTGTTTTTAATGTTTTAAACATGTTTGAAAAACATTTTTATGATGTGAGAAATGCAGTGAAAGATTTTATCCTAAAGAGCCAATGCGTGAGGGTTGGGTCGGTCTTGATTACTGTTATGACCGACTCAACAAAGCTAAAGACTTCGGTCTTCGTTCTTGGTCTCTTTTAGCTCTCGTTCTTTATCTTCGTTCTTCACCTTGTATACTCAATGTTTGTCTTGATCACGGCGGTTTGGCATTATCAAAACCTGTTACAAAAACGAACACGGCTTTAGTACGAAAACGTGACAAGCCCGTGTTTCAACAATTTCCCCCTTTTTGATAATGGCAAACGAGACGAGGTTATGCATAGGAGGATAATTTTGAGACTTTTAAAAGGAGTTCCCCCTTAAAAGATGACATTTGATTTTAAGAAAAATTCCCCCTCAATTTATGCATAACGTAGATATCTTCCCACTTTTGACATTAACAAAAAGAATTAAAAGTAAACTCTAGATTTTAAAAGTGAACTTTTATTTCTTTAAAAAGGGAAATGCAGAATACAACGGAATGGAAATTAAAGAAATACAATCATAGTAAGAAAGGAAAAGAAGGAAGAGTCTAGGCAGCGGCGTCCTCGTCCTCAGCGTCATCGTCTTCTTCGTCGTCCTCGACGTCCATGGGATCCCCGTCGACGGCGTCCTCAAAGTCGGCCTCGTCGGGGGAGGAGGACGGAGCATAGGAGTCATCCTCCTCGTCCTCGCCTTCAAAGTTTTGGCCGAGGATGGTGCTGTCAAAGGGCGGCGGGATGTAGTTGATGCCGGGGAAGTACGCCCTCATGTTGTGGCGTTGGCGTTGTATCGACCAGTCCATCCTCTCCAGGTACTGGCCCATGCCATCCACGGTGACGGTTAGCCGATTCAGGGTATCGGCTATGGACTACAGTGAGGCCCGGGCGGGAGCGGGGGCAGGGGCAGGGGCACGGGCACGACTCGGTCCAGCGCCTGTTCCGTCACTGGACTTCTTCCGGAAGGTGCTGTCTTGGATGATCCAAAGCTTCGTCATCTTTGTATCCGGGCCGGCGATGTGGATGTCGGAGGCACCGATGAGATCCATGACGAGGAAGGCGTATGGCAAGCTCCGCTCGTTGGTGATGGAGGCGTAGTCCGCCATGTGAATTATGACGTATTTCGCCCAATTGATCGAGGCGCCATGGGTGATAGCATGAATGGCCTTGAGATCCTCGTTGAAGAGACACGTGTGGCTACCGTCCCGGGGGCGGAGAATCCGGGTGAGGATGTAGAGCAGAAGGCCTTTTTCCGGCGGGGCTGAGTGAATGGTTGGTGCGCCGCTGTGACGGACGAGGTTGGTGATTCCAAGCTCTCGGATGACCACCGCCTCGTTGTTGAGGATCCAAGCATCGCCGCCATAGGTTGAGATGTCGTCACCGCGAGTGGGCAGCCCTGCGACCCGAGCGAAGGTAGCCAAATCAATCTCTAAATCCAAGAGATTGATGCTACTGCGAATAGTGTCCCCGTCCCGGCGGAGATTGGAGTAGAAGGCCCGGACGTAGGCGGGATTGTAGGACTGACGGCTTTTGGAGACGAACGGCCACAGACCCGACTCTTTGATTTGATTGTCGAGGTCGTGGTACCCCTTTTGTTGAGGGTACATCTCGGGCAGCACTCTTGGCGGAGAGATGGGGCGCTTGGCAAAGTGGGTGATGAAGCGAGTGAGTTCCTCTTCCGACCCGAACTCAAGAAACGAGCCGTCCAGGTATGGGAAGGGTTGAGGCGCAGAGGTCGTAGCCTCGGCGGAGGTCTTCTTCTTGGAGGCCTTGCTCTGGGACTTTCCTCCGGCCATGACAGCGTTTCTTACGAAAAAGTGATGGAAAGAGTGTAATTTGCTAAAGAAATGAGAAAGTAGTGTTAATTGTGTGTTAAGAATGTAAGGAATGATGTGAATATATAGGGAGAGGAAGATGAAACCGTTTGAATTCAAAAAATATGGCTGTTGGGCATTAAATTCGGTGCCCAACGGCCATAATTTTTGAATTTCAACTGCTGTCCCATCGATGGTATGGAACTTCCCATCGATGGGAGGGTCGCTACTGTAAAGCGAGAAGAAAACAAGGCTGCCTTCCCATCGATGGTCAAACTCACCCATCGATGGGAGGGTGACTACTGGAAATCCGATAAAACGTTTTAAAAAATTGTGTCAAACACCCAGCGATGGGAGAACGTTCCCATCGATGGGTAGGGCGGTTCTGAAAAAAAATTGTTTTGACAAAAGTCCTTCACCCAGCGATGGGATGAAATACCCATCGATGGGTAAGGTGTTTCTGGAAATCCGTTAAAAGGTTTTTAAAAACTAGAGTCAATTACCCATCGATGGGAAGAGGGGTTCTGAAAAAAAGGAAACTTCCCTCCCAGCGATGGTATGGCCCACCCATCGCTGGTTTCCCCTGATTTCCAGAATTCTTCACTTCGAACCATCCCTGCAAAAAAGAGTTAGAGAACCCTCCGACGCTCAAGTTAGTAAACATTCAAACAAAGATAAAAGAGTGATAAAATGCACAAATTAGATCATCGTGGAGTCAAGGATTCCGAGTTCACTACGAATGCGGAAGAACGACTCTTTCTCTAAAGGTTTTGTGAAAATGTCGGCTAATTGGTTGTGTGTTTCAACAAACTCAATTTCGACATCACCTTTGAGAACATGATCTCTAATGAAATGGTGCCTAATGTCAATGTGTTTCGTCCTTGAATGAAGAACGGGATTCTTCGTCAAGCTTATGGCGCTAGTATTGTCACACCGAAGTGGAACGTGACTGATATATACTAAGGCCATAGTCCACAAGTTGTTGCTTCATCCAAAGAGTTTGAGCACAACAACTACCGGCGGCAACGTATTCCGCTTCGGTTGTGGATACCGCAACACTGACCTGTTTCTTGCTAAACCATGAAACTAAAGAGCTACCAAGTAAGTGGCAAGTCCCACTCGTACTTTTGCGGTCCAATTTGCAACCGGCAAAGTCCGAGTCAGAGTAACCAACAAGAAGACACGAAGAGCCTTTTGGATACCACAGTCCAACGTTAACCGTGCCTACAAGGTATTTCATGATCCGTTTCACCGCCGTTGAGTGCGATTCCTTCGGACATGATTGATACCTTGCGCAAAGGCATACGCTAAACATGATATCCGGCCTACTAGCAGTAAGGTAGAGAAGGGATCCGATCATACCTCGATACTTTTTAACTTCAACTTCCTTACCTTTTTCGTCTTTGTCTAGGTGGTCGAACGTGCTCATCGGGGTCGCCATTGCTTTGGCGTTTTCCATTTCGAATCGTTTTAGGAGCTCCTTGCAGTACTTTGTTTGGCAAATGAATGTGCCATCTTTCATTTGCTTGACTTGGAGTCCCAAGAAGAATGTAAGCTCACCCATCATGGACATCTCAAATTCGCTTGTCATTAAAGTTGAGAATTCCTTGCACAAAGACTCGTTAGTAGCACCGAATGTAATATCGTCTACGTAAACTTGAACCAAAAGGATGTTATTGTTTTTACTCTTGATAAAAAGTGTAGTGTCAACCTTTCCCCTTTGGAAACCACTATCCAAAATAAATTTGCTCAAACGTTCGTACCAAGCACGGGGTGCTTGTTTAAGACCGTAGAGTGCTTTCTTGAGTTTGAAGACATGGTCGGGAAACTCAAAGTCTTCAAACCCCGGGGGCTGGTCAACATACACTTCCTCTTGAATAAAACCATTGAGGAAGGCACTCTTAACATCCATTTGATAAAGTTTAAAATCCATAGACGAAGCAAAAGCAAGAAGTAAACGAATAGCTTCTAAACGTGCTACAGGTGCATAAGTTTCTTCGAAATCAATGCCTTCTTCTTGATTGTAGCCTTTAGCTACGAGCCTAGCTTTGTTTCTAGTGATTATTCCATTTTCATCAAGTTTGTTACGGAACACCCATTTCGTACCAATAACCGTACGATCATCGGGTCTTGGCACCAATTCCCAAACGTCATTTCGTTTGAACTGGTTTAGTTCCTCTTGCATAGCCAAGGTCCAATGTTCATCGTTTATTGCTTCGGAAATGGTTGTAGGTTCAATTTGAGAAACAAAAGCCATGTGTCCTACGGTGTCCCTAAGAGAGTTACGAGTACTTACCCCGCGGTTGATGCTACCGATTACCTGGTCAAGCGGATGGTTCTTGTTTGTTCTCCATGCAATAGGAAGCTCGGTTGCTTCTTCTTCTTCGTGTTCCTCTTGTTCTTCTTCTTCCTCTTGTCTTTCATCATCACCTTGGTTAGTTTCTTGAGGTATTTCCTCAGTTTGTGGCTGTGTCTTGGTGTAAATTCCCGTGTTCTCCTCATCGTCATCAACGTGTATTCTCTCTAATGAATCTGCAAGATCATCACAAATATCCTTTCTCGCCAAGCGAGGGTTATCTTCGGAAAATACAACGTGAGGAGACTCCTCAATAGTCAAGGTACGTTTATTGAAGACTCTATAGGCCTTGCTACGTAATGAGTAACCCAGAAAAATTCCTTCATCCGACTTGGCATCAAATTTGCCTAAATTGTCTTTGCCATTGTT